CCTTCCCCTCGAGGCCCCGCCCCCGCCTCACCTGCCTCACCTGCAGAATGGGTGCTGCCCGCGCCGGCCGCACTGGGAGGTGGCAGAGAGCACACTGGCGCGGGGGCTGGGTGTCCGCGCCCCGGGGTCAGAGCTGTCATCCTGACTGCCATCAGGCCGCTGAAGGGCGGGACAGGGAAACGACCCAGGGAGGCGCGAGGTCTCTAGGCCGGGCCCTCAGCTGGGCCTGGACTCTGCAGCCAGACAGCAGTCGCGCCCACGGAGCGGCGTGGGGACACGGGGACCGTAGGCTCCCAGCTCCAGCACCCGGAAGCCGGGCTCCTGTCAGGCTCGGCTGTCCCCAGGGGACCCACCTGGCTGGACTTGTGGACCCCAGGGAGTAGAAGAGTGTGGGGCCTGGACCCCTGGGTCTGCGGGAGGAGCCCTGTGGCTGCAAGTCCAGGGACCTTTGGGGAGAACAGGGCTGGGGGACCCGGACTCCTAGGTCCCTGGCAATGAACGGGCCGGGGCTTGACTCCTGGGTTCCTTGGGGAGGAGGGGGCCGGGGGCCCGGACTCCTGGGTCCTGGCACCCACCCGTAGAACCGACCTTGCGGGGCCTTCGCCGCACACAAGCTCGTGTCTGTGGGTCCGTGTCGGGGGCTCACCATCGCGGCTGGGTCCTCCCCGGCCCTCCCGGCCCCATCTGTCCGTCTGTCTGGTCTGTCCGCCTGCGCGCCCCCCGGGCTGAGGTAGGAGGTTGTATAGTTGAGGAGGACACCCAAGGAGATCACTATACGGCCTCCTAGCTTTCCCCAGGCTGCGCCCTGCACAGGACGGGCCAGTGGGGACCTCAGCCCCGGCTGCTGCCCAGAAGAGCGGGCTCGTGCTGTGCTTGTCCCTCACCTGCACCTGCCCTTCCCTTCAAGCGTTTCTCTCCCATCACAAAAGCTGGGGTTGCTTTCTGTCTTCGTCTCTGCTGTGTCTCTGTCTCTTGCTCTCACAGCTTCTTGCATCTCCATCTTCTGCGTCTGTCTCTGCTTAGTGAGGTCTCTGACTCCATCTCCATCTCTCTCATGTGCTTTCTAGGTCTCTGCCTCCTAATGTCTCTCCGTGTCTCTGTCCATCCTCTTTGGTCTTCTTTCTGTCCTACAGCACTCTCTGTGCCCGTCTCTGTCCCCGACTCCAGGGCCTGTCGGGACCACTGCCTGCCACATTGCCGGCCTCTGGGTCCCTGAGACCCTTTAACCTGTGAGGATGTCCAGGGTCACAGGTGAGGTTCTTGGGAGCCTGGCGCCCGGCCCAGCCGCACACCTGGGGACTGCTGGCCTGACCCTGATGCCCGCCCCCTTGCTCTGGGGCCGACCTCTGACCCTAGAGCACCGGTGACCTCACAAAGGTAGCCAGCTTCTCCTTGGGCCCTGCGACCCACCCCGATGGCCCTGCCGGCCCCTGCCAGCTCTGTCCCTGTGGCGCTGCTGGCCCTCGCTGTCTTGGGGTCGTCCGCCTGGGCCTGTCTTCTTTGCTTCTCCACCTTCACCGAGCGCCTCGGCGTCTGCCGGATATTCACGGGGGTGCAGGGCCCTGGGCGGGAGAAGTGCCAGAAGGCCTTTGCAGCCGCCTTCAGTGGCCTCGAGGACTCCGAAATCAGTGAGGGCACCCAGCCTGCACCGGGGATCCGCGTGGGGAGGGCCTGGAGAGAATCGCGGAGAGGGACGGACTGACGGTCAGACAGAGAAGTGCAGAAAGGCCATTGGAATGGGACAGAAGTTCAGAGCTGAGACGGAGAGACTCAGAGGGACAGAGACGGAAGCAGAGACAGAGGGAAAATGGAGCGTCAGGCAGATCTGGGAGCGTGAGGATAGAGCCTGGGAGGTGCCGATAGATTCCCAGCAAGCAGGAAGAGACTGGAGGAGCAGACTCCAAGACGGAGGGAGAAACAGAGCTGGCATTGGAGCGAAGAGGATGGAGGTGGGAGACAGCCTCCAGACAGGGAGGATGGAGATGGGAGACAGCCTCCAGACAGGGAGGATGGAGATGGGAGACAGCCTCCAGACAGGGAGGATGGACATGGGAGACAGCCTCCAGACAGGGAGGATGGAGACCGGGGAGACAGCCTCCAGACAGGGAGGATGGAGATGGGAGACAGCCTCCAGACAGGGAGGGTGGAGACCGGGGAGACAGCCTCCAGACAGGGAGGATGGAGACTGGGGAGACAGCCTCCAGACAGGGAGGATGGAGACCGGGGAGACAGCCTCCGGACAGGGAGGATGGAGACTGGGGAGACAGCCTCCGGACAGGGAGGATGGACATAGGAGACAGCCTCCAGACAGGGAGGATGGAGACTTTGGGGTCAGAGACTCCAGACAGGGAGGATGGAGCCTAAAGGCAGATTCCCCAGAGAAGAATGGAGAATGAGGTGGGAGGAGATTCACAAAAGAGAGAAATAGAAACTGGGGGTCAGAGATTAGGGGAGGGAGGAGACCGGGGTGTGGACACTCAAGTGACAAGATACAGAAAGACCGGCAGACGCCCAGAAGGATGACTCAGACTGGGGCACAGATGCTGCAGGGGCAGAGCACGGGCTCACCGGTTCAGAGAGGGTGGGGAGAGGTTTGAGGGGCAGAGACGGGGGTGGTGGAGATACTAGGGTAAGACAGAGATGGCACAGAGACTCGGGAGGGTAGAGACGGGGCCGTAAACATGCCAGGAGTGTGTGCGCCTTCCTCAAATCGCCACCGAGGGAGAAGGTGGAGAGTGGGTTGTGGCGTGGCCACACCCGATTGTGGGGTACTTTCTTGCTCTCCTGCACACTGTCTCTGTCTGTCTCTGGCAAGCACACATGCCCTTGGCAATTACAATAAGAAAAAGGAAGACAATGAGAAAGAGTGAGGGAGGCAGAGATTCAGCCGAGGGGCGGATAAAGACTGAGGTCAGAGACAGGAAGGTAAAAGGGAGACTGGACGGGCCGAGCATAGAGAATGGTGGCGGGGAGCAGAGGGGAGCTGCCCTGCTTGGGCTGGGGGCAGCAACTCAGGGAGGATAGAGACTGGGGTGGGGAAAACTGGGAAGGTGGGGCAGAGAGAAATAGAAGACAGAGACAGAACTCTAAAGACAGGAAGATAGAGACTAGGGAGCATAAATTCAGAGGGGAGATAGAAATGGGGGAGCAGATGGGACCAGCAGTTGGCGTAATGGCTATGTCACTGGACTCTCATGTAGCCGACCGCAGTTCGAGTCCCAGACCCAGTGGCTTAAACTCACGCCAGGCGCGCGTGCGTGCGTGCCCAAGATCCCGAGAGGAGAATGGAGGAGAAGGGATTGTAGCGTGGCCATCCCCCCTGGGGGGTGAGTTCTCACTTTCTGTCTCTCTGTCTCTCTCTCTCTTTCTGGTGAGTGCATGCGCCCTATAGAAATGGAGCAGAGAGGGAAAAGAGGACAGAGACTGGGAGGCATGGACTCAGAGGGAGGATCAGAGATTAAAGAAAGAGAGGGCCAGGGCCAGCAGGAGGCGTGGAGCCCAAAGTGGCTGGATCCCACATGGCTGACGACACTTCAAACCCGGGACCCAGCAGCTTGAAAATAACACCAGGTGTATGGGCGTGTGTGCCCAATGTCCTGAGAGGAGAAGGGATTGTGGTGTGGCCATCCCTGTGGGGGGTTACTTCTCACTTTCCCTCTCTCTGTCTCTCTCTGGTGAGCGCACTTGCCTTAGGCAAAATTCTTTAAAAAAAAAAAAAAGAAAAAGAAAAGAAAGGGAGAGTAGAGATGGGTGCACAGATTCAGAGAGTGAAGAGGAGGACACAGGGGCAGAGACTCGGGTGAGAGAGACGTTCAGAGAGGGAGGACAGAGACTTGGAGAGATCCAGAGGGAAGCAGGGTAGACATGGGGGGCTAGTGGAAAACAGGAAGCAGGGGTCAGAGACTTGGGGGGGGAAGGTGGGGAGAGGTGGGAGAGAAAGAGGTTCAGAGGGAGGTCAGAGACGTTGGGGGGAAGAAGAGACTTGTAGGCAGGAGAAGAGAAATGGGAGTGGGCAGAGGTCAGAGAGGGGAGATCCAGACTGGCAGACAGAGACTCAAAGGGAGGATGAGGGGATGGAGAGGAGACTCAGAGAGGGGAGAGACAGTGAAGGGGACAGAGATTCAGGGACTGGGAGACATGCTTGGATCAGAGACTCAGGAAGCTGGTAGAGATTAAAGGGCCAGAGTCTCAAGAGGAGGAGGATAGAGAATGGAGTGAGAGGCTAGAGGGGAGGTGGAAGCTGAGGTGCAGAGACTTACAGACATGGGAGGACAGAGACAAGGAGGCTGAGGCTGAGTGGGAGGCCAGAGACCCGAGAGAAGGAGTATAGAAACTGAGAAGAAAAACTAAAGAAAGGGGGGTACAGATTGAGGGGGGACAGACACTTGAAGGGAGGATAGAGACCGTGAAGGCAGAGACTCAGAGATGGAGACTCAGAGATGGGTGAGGTCGACGCTGAGGAGGCAGAGACTCAAGAACTAGGGAAGATAGAGCCTCATGGGCACAGGCTGAGGAGGGGGCGTAGAGACTCGGGAGGGCGGACCAGAGGCAGCGTGTGCATTCAGGGCACGGTGTTGGGGAGCTGTCTCCCCTCAGCCTGTACCCTGCCACCCCCACCCCAGACTACGATGAGAGAAGCCACCTGCATGACTCCTTTTCCCAGATGATCCACTCCCTCCAGGAGGCGGCCACCGCCCAGGGTGAGTCTTGGGGACGGTGTGGTGGAAAATGTGGGCTTGGCGCCCTCAGAGTTGCGTTTCTTGGGGGAGAGGGGGGCACAGCTCAGGATCTGGACAAGGGTCTGGGAAAGCCACTGCCGGAAGCTCCGTGAGCTGGGCCATTAGCCAGCGTGAAGGTGAAGGCAGTTCTCAGAGCAGTGGGCAGATGCTGGCAAGGAGGGGCCGGTGATGCAGAGACCACCTGGACTCTGAGGCCAGGGAGGAACAGGCAGAGTTAGGATCCGACCTGGGCGGGTGGCCAGTACTCTTCCTGCCGTGAAGTCCTAAATAGGGCACTGCCTCCTCCCAGCCTGAGCTCAGCCGTGTGTATAGTGGGGCAATCTCCCGTCTACTAGAATGTCTGCAGAGCTCTGTGAGAGATGGGGGCTCCCTGGGAGACAGACCTGGAATAAAATACACATGTCAGAGTGGGAAGAGCAAACACGACCAGCGCGAAGTGCCCAGCACTCTTCTCTTCTGAAAAAAGGAATGTTACAGGATCCACACGGACACGTTTCAGTGAGAACGTCTGAGGAGGAGCGTGGACTCCACTAGGGAAGGTGTTTCTGAAACAGCAGGCTCAAGCGAGGCAGCGTGGAAAGGGAGGCGAGGCACTCGCCCAGCTGCCGTTGGCAGGCAGCAGATGAGAAAGGGTGAGAGAGGACCCTTCGTGGCCCCTGATACCATCAGGGATGACTGCGCTCCTGAGGGCTCACTGCTGTGCACAGGCCCGTGTA